AATTTGAATGTGATAGACTCTTCAAATTTTTCAATAAAATTACTTTTATTTTAATAATATTCAAAGATAATTCTTATAATATCTTGTTAAATTCTATAATTTTATGATAAATTATCTTACCTATTATTAGAGTCAATTTTTTGTACTTTACTTATAAGTATAGTTTAGAATTTATAACAAATTAATTATAATTAATATACTTAACTTATTATATTTACTATCTGCTATATTTTTCTATTCAATAATTAGTATAGATTTTTCACATATGACTTGTAAAGTATTTTATATATTTCTGTTAAGAGACTATTTAAGATTCTATATTTATAAATTATTAAAATCACATGTTATATAGTTTAGAAAAACTATATTTTATAGTAAATAATAATAAGAAGATTCTCTTAAATTTAGTTAATCAATTAGTAATAAGAATCTATATCTATTTTCAAAGTTTATTATTAGTTATCTAATTTTTCAAAGTTTAATTAATTTTATTAGCAGCAGGTAGTGCAGACAGACTTTTTTTTGGTAAAGTATATTTTTTGTGTTTTTTATACACCCTTTAGTCTGCGAGTTTTTAAAGCTAAAATCATTAAAATTAATAGCATTTTTTTTATATATCAAAAATCAATATCCAGAAACATGTTCTAGATGTGATATTTTTTTCTTTTTTAAACTGGCCTCTAGAAATCCAAGAACTATAATTTGTTTTCTTGACAGAGTAAAGTAATTTAAAACTTAAGAAATATAATTTGCTTTCTTGATTAGAAATTTATCTAAAACTCTTAAATTATATAATATGTTTTCTTAATAAAGCAGAGTGATTTAAAACTTAAAATATATAATTTATTTTCATAATAAAAAAAATACTTAAAGCATATAAGTTTTATAATTTGATTACTAAAATAATTACTATTTTAGAGGAGCATAGTAACTTCAAATATGAAGTGAAGTGGAGTATAGTTAACTTATTTTTATATCTGACACATTAATGTGTGTCATCATCTATTTTTACACTCTCAGTTTATGAGTTTTTAGTACTAAGAATATTAAAATCAATAGCAATATAGGTGTAATTTGACATATTATTTTTAGATCTTCAGTCTGTAAGTTTTTAGTACTAAAATTGATGTTATCCAGTTATGTTATTAAAATATTATTAAAATATAATCACTTATATTCACTAGTATTCTTGCTAAGCTGGTAAGAATAAAACTGCAAAACATAAAATCCACCAGCATGAATTTTACATGTTCCAGATGCAAAAGAAGTTGGCTTATCACAAACTTTATAAGAGATACATTTTTTAGATCTTCAATGATCAAAGCATCCTTCAGATTATTGACAACTACATCTACAAATTTCACCAGAGTTGTATATATAATTACAAATATATTTTTCAGACATGGATAAAAGAAATATTTTTTATTTAAACAAAAGATCTGATTAAGTAATATATAATAAAAAGTATAATATTCAAAATGATAAATTATAAAAATATCGAATTAACTTTAGTTGAAGTTATTAAAGTAGTATATAGTTAAGGTACTATAAAATATGACAAATTAGGAGCATCATATGTAAACTATCTTAAGACTTTACAATAAAAAAGAGATCCAGAAGATCATGTTAAATATGTTGCAAAATAGCGTGTCCCAAATGAGGAAATTTATAATGAAAGAATGGTAGATTTTAAAGATTGACATAATGAAGAAGTATATACTAGTCTTGAAAATTTATATAAGTTATATTTCAAATTGGCTAATCAAGAAAAGATTATAGAAAAAAGATTCAAGAAAGAAGTAGATGATATTCTTCAAAGAATTCATGATTTAAAAATTTAATATTGATTAAGGATCCATTTAGGTGAATATTCAACCTCCTTAACTATCATCAATTATTCTCTTACAAATAATCTTTCAGGATCATTGCCATTTTCATCCATAAGCCAATATAATACTGGTTGATTTTTTTGTATTAGTGATTCCTTAATATGATAAACTTTGGAAGACCAATTCATATCAGTTATGTATCTCTTGCCAAATTCTAATTTTCCAGGTTTGAGTAAATATAAAACAGAATCTTTATAGGTTAACTGAGGTTTATCAAATCTAATAGGTCTTCAATATTTTACAGATGGATCAGCAATTATCTTTTTATCTTTCAAAGCTCTCTTTACAGCTTTATTAGATGACATATGAATTAATCAGGTTAGAGTATTATTAAAAGTATCATCATTAATATGAAGATTTTTAACTCATGCTCTAGACCTATTAGATAAAGATAAATGAAAATCTATAGCATCTTAATGAATGAAAGCATATTTTTCAAATTCTTGATGATCATACTCTGCTATAATATTACTTTCTTTAGATTTTTTAGGATCAAAATATATACCATGGCTTAATAATAAATTTTTATACTTAGCTAAATACTCAGTACCTTTATCAGTTCTAAAAACATTAGGCCAAGAAAGAGAATTATTAGGATTCTTATAAATTTTTTTAATTGCTTTAGCAATTGTAGAAGTTGATTTATTAATTAATGCATAGCTTTTTCAATATCTAGTTACTACATCTTTTATTACAAGTCTATATTTAAAAACTTGATTACCAATTTTATCATGAGATATAGGAGTAAGATCAGATTAATACATTTCATTTAACCTCTATATATTATTAAAAGAAGCATACTGAATAAATTTTGATTGAGATTTATGAATTAAATATAATAATTATCTTTCAAGCCATTCTTGAACTTCAGCTAAAGTAAAATCAAATCCAGCTTATTTTGATGCTTCAAAAAGATTCTTAACAGTTCTTTGATATCCAGAAGGATAATAATAGATTTTTTGTAAATCAATAGATATATCAAATTTTTAAGATTCTAAAGGGTCTATAACAATACTGGGATTACTCATTTTATTTATAATAAAAATTATTTCATTGAGAAAAAGCTTGTCAGATCAATATACTCAATCTTTAGAAGAGCAAAATACTGATATAATGAATCTTGACTCTATTATACAAATTAATCGAGATTTAAATAGTATTAAAAATCATCTTAAAAATATTGAGACACTATTAAATAATCCTATCAAAATTATAGATAATATTAGAAGTTCTTTAAATACTGTTTGATATAATTATCAATCTGTATACCAGGATATAGATGATGTTATAGTCTAATGAGATGATTGAAATAATTAAATATTACAATTACAACAGGATGTTAACAGATATAGACAGCTTGATATACTTCAACAAAATCATATTAACCAGCTTACATAGGATAATATTACTTTACAAAATTATAATCATCAGCTTATACAAGAATATGTAAATTTATAAAATCATATAGAAAATAAAGAAAGATCTTGCAATTTTTAGAAGTTAAATGCTATCTATATTAAAACTCAAAAAAATAGATATATTAATTCATTATTACATAAATAATTTACTTTATAGCTTCTAAATAGATAAGTAAACTAGAAATTGAAATAGTAGTTACAATAATGTCATAATCATAGAATGATATTAGAGTATTGGTAAGATCAACTTATAGTAAGATATAAAAAATAAAAAAATAAAATCCATGATATCTGACAAATAAATTTTAATTTATGTCAAGAAATTTTTATATTACAAAATAATCTAGCAAATTCCCTCAATATAATTGAAGTTTCTAGATAACTTTTATATCAAACTATTTAAACAAGTTTTGTATATATTCCTAATTACATAGGACAAGAATCACCAGATGATTATTATAATAAGATTCATCAAGTAATTTCTTTTGCTAATATAATAATAGCTGATGCCAATCATGCAAATGTTAATACTTTTACTGATACACACAAGGCAGATATCTATAAATCGAAAATGGCAGGTAAATATATTCCAGTTCCTGCTAAATATCCAGCTAGTACTATTATTAATATACCTGATAGATTCAAAGCTTGGATTAGATTTAAATATTATGAATTAACTGTAGGCATAAGACAAGCATCTTTAACAAAATTAATACAAGAAAAATTCTTATCTATAGATATTCCAGAAACTTATAAAGAAAGGATTTGACTTTTATTATTGCAAACACCAAATAATAATACTAATACATTAGCAATCTTATGGAATTATTTACCAGATGAGCTTTTTTCAAGAATGGAAATTACAGCTCTAGCAGATATAGATACATTCTTTACTAATCTAAAAAATATCTGACTTAAGTGTCAACCTTCTACTTTTATATATAATGGAAATAGAAATTTACCTATTCTTACAACTAATTCACCCCCTATTTTATATAAATCACAACTACAAGAAAACAAAAATAGAGCATTAGATCATTTAGAGAGTATTGCTATATGATTAGGATATGCTGATGATGCATCTTGAAATTCTGATACTTTAGAAAGTTTTATTAAAAATAAATTATATAACAGATTAGGACATGCAAATTATAATATTAGAAAAAAGTCTTTTGGTCTAGTTAACAGAGTTAGTACCAAAATTTCATCCCCCAAAGGGAGCCCTTCCAATAGAAAAAAGTATATATTACAAATAGAAAGAAGTTAACTAAAGTTATTTATAAATGCTCAAATTGTGAGAAAATAGGATATAGAAAAAATAACTGCCCTTCATCTCGAAAAGATAAAATATCTAAAAAGGTTAATTATACTTATATTAACCAATCTGAGCCAGAAGATTATAATCAAGAGGATGAACATATTACAGTAATAGAAGATGAAAATAAGAATAATATAGAGAGTGAAGATGAAAAAATCATCTCAGATAGTGAACCACAAAATTATTTTAATGTAAAAAAAAAGTTGAATTCCTATAAAAAAGCAGTCTACTACTAAGAAAAAAAAATCTATTGATATTTTAGAGCAAGAAGTATTTCTTGAATTTCTTAAATATATAGTATCTGAATTAATACCTAATTATCCTAGAGAAATTCTCATTAAATTTTGTACATTTCTTAATAATTTATTTATAAAAATGAAGAACCAATTCGATTCATATTATGCTAAAAAGTATATAATCAAAGAAAGAAATAAAATATGAAAAATTGTTATGAAAAAATATCTAACTATTTTCTAATTATTTATTGAACTTCTTAATAATCAGAGTCTAAATATTTCAGAAAATACTAAGCTTTGCACTTTAAATCATGCAATTAAAATATATCAAGGAGCATAAATAATCTAAAATTGGCCTAATCCTTTTGAGGTTGATTTTCTTAAAATAGAACCTAAGATATCACAATTATTTTATGTAGAATAGGTAACTTGATAATAGCTCACGTAATTCTAGATACTGATGCAGATTCTTCAATATTTACAGATAACATTCCTAAATATTTAGGGATAAAAATAGATAAGAAAAATATTCACAAACTTACTGGTACAGTTAGAGATTTCCAATCTATTGATACTTCATATAATATTCCTATAACTATAGGTACTGGAGAAGATTTTATAACAGTTCCTGAAAATGAAATATCTGTAATCCCCACAAAAAAAGATAGATATGGAAAAGATATATCTATAATGATACTTGATATAAAATGGCAATATCATGTCAGATGGGATCTAATAGTGAAAGAAGAATTCACAACTATACATAATGGAAAGATTATTATAATTTTTCTTTCTACTCACAAAGAATCACATAATGTATTTAATTCAGAAAAATTATAGATATTAGAGATAGGCTTGAAGAGTCATAATTCAGAGAATTGCCTTACAATCTGCTCTGCAATAAAAAAAAATACATAAATTATGAAAGTATGACTATCCATATAAAGGAACTTGAAAAAGCATTATTTACAAGTATTCAAATCAATTCAGAATTTATTGAATATTATAATAATTTATGTAATTATTATAAAGAAGAAATTGATTCTATACTTTCAAATTAAGAGTAGATAGTTTAAAAATATTAGCATGTGCAACTGCTTTACTTTTTTTAGCATCTTTTTGTGTTCTTTTAAAGAGTTTCAAAGGATCTTTAGTTTTTTGAGAGATTTCAGATGGGATAGTTTCTTTTTTTGTTTCTAATATTTTATTCATTTTATCAAATAAATCTTTACTAATGGAAAATTGATCAGAATTATGAATAAGCTTGGGCTTGAATTTTATATTTTTAGTAATTTTAGTACTTGCTTTATTAATCAATATTTCTATAGCTGAAAGTTTCTTGTTATGAGAATCAGAAGGTGAAAAATTATTCCAATTATCAAGACCCTGTTGAAGATACTCTTTATATTCCTATATTTCATAAATATGACAAGCATCAATATAAAATTTTTTTGCCATTCTCTTTGATGTATTTAATACTTTCTCTTATGATTCTCTCAGAGTTAGATACTTTAACATTTCAAATTAATCAATTACAGATTTTTAATACTAAATATAAAGCCAAGAATATCATTTGATTGAAAAAAATAAAATCACTCTAGTTAATGAACAAAATATTAAATAGTAAATTAGCATTAGCTCAGAAGGATGCATTCTTAACTCAGAAAGAGATAGTAAAAAAAGAATCTGAGATTATATCTCTCAAGTCTGAATTAACAAATATAAAGAATGAACTAATGAATACAAAAGATAAATTAGCTTCAAAATTAAAAAAATTGAGTATTTAGATACTTTACTCTCTGTTTCACAGAAAATAAATGATATATTAGATCCTGTAGAGTCAAAGACTCATTACTCTGCAATAGTTATAGAAGGTAAAGAAAAAAATATGCAAAGCAAGGAACAAAGTTTCATATCAAATTCTAGAGATATATCTGAATCTAGATCCAAAGGATTATTACTTTGCAAGCCCTTTAAGGATGACTCTTCAAGTCATAAAAATCTTGCAAAATATTTTAAAAGTAAAATATTACCAATTATCACAAATAATCAGAATTCAGAGTCATTAATTCAAGATATTACAAATAAGCAGAATCCAGAGTCATTGATTCAAGATATTACAAATAAACAGAATCCAGAGTTATTGATTCAAGATATTACAAATAAGCAAAATCTGGAGTTATTGATTCAAGATATTATAATAAAAGAGACAATATGCGCTAGTGAAATTTTAGTTAATGATAAGTATCAGATTTCTTCTTTTATTAAAATTATTATTATTATAATAATAGTGATATTAATTATTTGATATATATATAGAAATATTTTTCAATCAATTTCACCTTCTCATTCTTTGAACTCAAAGCTAGATTATAGTTATTATACAATCACTTCTGGCAATCTACCATAGAAAATTAAGTAAGTAATGGATATGGTGTTATCAAAATCTACAAAATAGAATTTACGAAAAAAGAAACAATAACATATAAAGAAGATAAGGCTTGAGAGATCCACTAACTAGTCAATTGATAAAGAATCTATCATACCTGATCCTGATAATGACAAAAACACTGCATCTAATTCTAATAATGGTCAAGACAATGAAAGACTAGATTTATTCTATGACCCAAAAAAAGTAAGTTAAGATTATATGAGTTATATTTAGTGGTTAGGATATTTTTATGATTCAATATATATGAAGTGAAGATTAAAAGTAATTATCACCTTTCAAGATAGGCCTAGAATCTGACTGTTTTCTCCTTAAGTGTGAAAAAGCTTCACTTCAAGCATATATTTTTTCTAATCTTTTGATATCTTCTTGAATATAATTAGTAGTCATATGTGAGGCATAGAAGTTTTGATAGACTTTCATAATTCTCAAAGTATATCTGTATATTGAGAATTACTGAGCTATACTACAAGTATTCACCAAGAAAATTCTATTTTTTTATTATATTTATACTAAAAGATAACTGTTATTTCTTCAAAACTTGACTAGTCAAGCTAATTCTTTATATAATATTTTATTTTTTTAGCACAAAATTCAACTCAAAATATGTTTATCTATTAAGAGCCAATCCTGATAATACATTGAACTCTAGTATACCTATAAATTTCTGAATTAAATATTTATTATTATTAAAAAAAAAGATTATTATAAGAAATATTATCTTTATATTAATTCATTAAGTAGGCTAGACTCGATAATTCTGATTATATTCCAAGTAAGTAAGATGTATATTATCTTTTATATATTCTAGTTTATTATCAATTCAATCAATCATCCATTAATCAGGATTTTCAGCTTCATCCTATTCTCACAATATTTCATTAAGGTATAATTCATAATTATTTTTTTATGAATCTTTTAATACAAGAATATAATCAACAGATAAGTTAAATTCATGATCTTTTTTCTTATCTTGATCTATATATCTTATGAGTTTTCCAGAAATAAATGGTCTTAGGGACCACTTAATTACTTTCTTATTTTTTGCTTTCTCAATCTCAGGAGGTAATGGAGGATCTTTAATCCAAATAAGCTGGCTCAAATTTTTTATACGACTAATTATGAGATATATTAGATTATCCCATGTTAAATATTCATCAATAATCCAAACTTATTGTGTAGCTTCAAGCATTATTTCTTGACTAGTATGCATAGTTATTGCATATTCCAAATTCTAATCAAGTATTTTTTCTTTGATTAATATATCTTTTATAAACTTTTCAGAAAGCGTATTTAATGATAAATATACTATATTATTTTTTACTAGTTCTTATTTCTCAGATGAACTGGAAATTAGAATAAGATAATTTTATTTACATCCATCTCTTGGTCTATATATTAATGAAACTGATAGATCTAGATATTTTTGTGATGTAATTCTTCAAGATAGGTGATATGCTAATAATATATGATCTGCAGAAGTCCATTCCTTTTCAAGATATTCCTATTTTTCTATAGTTGAGAAAATTTCTCAAAATAATTTTGATTATATTTGATTATTTTTGTGATGCATAGCTTTTTTAAGTTCATGTAACTTAGAATATTTTGCACAATAATTAATTAAAACTTCTTCATAATAATTAGCATGCTCTTTTAACTAATTATGTGGCATTTTTCTGAAGAATAATAGAGGTTATATATCATTACCATAACAAATTACCTAGTATTTATATTCTAATAAATAATTAATGAACATTTCAAGAATATACTTAGAAACTATATATATCTCATCTCAAATAATAACTTGTGGAAATTTCTTCTCTCCTATGTATTCAGATATCTACTCTCCCACTCTATTCCATCTAAAAAAGCTATGCCAGGTTTGAGTTTTTATATTATATTTTTCTCGAAAATCTTTAGCCAATATATTTGTATAAGTAAAAATAATCATGTTAATATCTTTAAAAATTCTAATTGCTTGTGTTATTTTACCAGATTCTCCTCCCTATTAAGATATGATTTTCAACATCTTGTAATAGAATCATGAATTATTAGTGCAATACTATCTGAAATATTTTGATCGATCTCCAATATCTATCTTTTGGCCAATATATAATATTTTTATCTGATCTATATATTTTTTTGCTCTTGTCATGCCATTGATCAGGTTGAATTTCTCAGATTTCTTCCTATTATAATAAATTACATTTGTCCATTTTTGATTGATAAACCTAATCTAAAAAATAATATTTACAGACAAATAGCATATGTTTTTTATATTTATATTCTGTCAATAGCCTTTCAGTATTTTGAAATTCTTTAATCAATTTAATACCTACCAGTTTTGAATACATACCAAGAAAGAGTTCTTCTAAAATAATACACATTGCACAAGAGGGATAAGTATGTTTATATTCATAAGAACTTTCTAATTTATTTTATTTAAAGAATATCAGTATATTTTTGATCTTATATAAAGTCTCTTTTCATATATATATAGAATCTGTAGCAATCCTTACTACTTTATTAGGATTAAATCTCGAAGCATCTCTAATAAATTAATATATACATATGCTAATATTGAGATCCGCAAATATATATATTAAGATTGATGTTTCTCATAATATATAAGTATGAATTCAAGCAAATATTTTTCTCTTTTGGCAAAAGTTCTGGCATCAGTATAATCTTTGATCGAGAAATTGAGTTCACCTTCATCTATTACAAGTCTATATGTAAGATATTTCTTATTAATCTTATCACCTTGCATGAACTTTTCTATAATTACATAACTAATATCTCAATTTCTAAATAGCTATATTTTGATCTGTTTAGTAAGAGAAATTATTATCTCTTTAATAGTTATACTTTCTAGAATACCAATCTCAAGAAAATATTGTAGAAGTACAATAGATGCCTATTCTTTTTCTTTTTCACATCCTTCTCTACTTTAACATGTAAAATATTTTTCATATCAGACAGGAATCGCTAAATTTATATTTGATACAAATTTAAAAGATCTTACCTGCACAAATCCAGTGATATCATCCTCTGATAATTTTCCATTTACCACAACTCAAACAAGATAGTATATTAGATATCTGAACTTATTGAACCATGGTGTATATTCTTCTTGATTTCACATACTTGCTGGATAACAGGATTTCATATTAATACATATGATATCATTGACATGATAATCTGATGCATTCCAATATTCACTATGCTCATGCTCTATACAAGCTTGCTTTATAACATCATTTATTTTTTCAAATATTAGATATCATTCATTAATTTCATTGGCAAGTCAACTTCCAGCATGGTTTGCATCAAATACTTGTTCTGCTAAATTGACTACTTTGAGAGATTCTGAAAGAATCAATTTCTTTTCCTTATCAATTATTTCTTTTTAATATTGCCAATCTATTATATTATCAATTAATTGTTTGCATGTTTCTATAATTTCAGTATGCTTTTTCCAGGTTCTAAATATATGATCATCTTCTAGAACAAATTGTGATATTGTTTGGTTCTCACTTTCCACTCCTATAAGTCAAATTGCTTAAGGATCCTGGAGAGTATTATTGATAGCTTCCCAAGTATCACTCTTATAATATTTGACCATTTAATCTCTTGGAAAGTGCTGGTTTCTTGGAAATGTATAGTCATTATGAACTATCATTCCAATTTCTTCATACTTACCTGATCAATACTTTCCACTAGTAAATATAGTATTATGAGTTATATCAAGTAATTTAATTTGTTGTTTAAGAATTTTTTTTAACTCTGCTATATCTTGTACTCAAGTATCTGAAATGCATATTTTTTTCTCCTAATCATTTATTTTTTACTAATGAATTTCTATGAGTCCATGTCCTCTTTTGGCTTGATCAAAATGCTTTATTACTTGTTCAGCTACATAGTTAAGTACTCCATCTTTCATAAGTATTAATTGATTAACATCTGGCTTTTAGATTTGATATAATCTATAGACTACCGCATTACTATCAAGTTTATCTACCTCAGATAAATTACTAACTTCTCTAACCAGAAATTTCTCATCTATTCCTATCCAAAATCCTGGTTTCATTTTCTTTGTAAGTATAATATTTAGATCACCACTGACATATTTTCCACCTGTCTTTTTTGATTCATGAATAGGCTCATATTTGTCAATAATTCTAAAACTATACTTCCATTCTTCATCATATATAGAGTCATCTCAAATGAATTTTATTCTTATTAAGAACTCACTATTATCAATCATATTTAAAATTTCTCAGACTTATCTTTTGATCATTCCAGCTTTGAATTTTTTTGATTCTATTTAATCTTCCACATATGTCAACCAGTTTTTATTTTCTTTATCTTTTGCCCTATATGCATCTTTTGCTAATTTTATAATTTTATTAATTTCTTCTTCTGAATAATTCTGATATAAATATTATAAAAATATCTCCTGTATAGTTTCATCTTCACTTTCTTCTCTTAATATTACACTGGCCAAATTAATCTCTTTAGCTTTTGTAAACCAGATTGAGAAAGTATATTCAACTTCATCTACCTTAAACATATCTTTTGCAGTCTGAATTTAATTTTGCCATATTACATAATGTTCTTTGTTATTGGGATATGGGACTGGCCATGGTACTTCTATATCTAAATCTAGAAATTTATCTTTGTGATCAAGCAATTCTTGAACAGGTTACAATTCTGTATTATCTGATGGTATTTGTTAAGTTACTATTTCTTCTGATTTAGTAAGTTTATCTTCATGATAAGCTTGAGTTCAAGGACCTGGACCAGCTTTGGGATTGATTTCTGACTATACCATTGGAGATGAATTATACTAAAGATTTGCTTCCTCAATTTCAGGTTCATCAAAGAATCCTTGCTCTTCATACTTTTCTTTTTCTGTTGCAGATCAGAAATATGTATTTGAATCCAGTTGTAATAATTCATCATAAAGAGCTTTGATTTTAGCCAAATTTTTTGGCTAATTACAATCCTTGTCACTTAATTCTTTGACTTTTTTTTGTAATCTTGATCCCTATTATTTAACAGATTCACCTGATTTTCTAGTATTGAGATCTTGAGACTGTAAATTTAAATTGATTATAGGTTGAGTATTATGAGATAGTTACAATAAAGCTTGACATAGTCTATTTCATGTTAGATCCATATGCTTATTAAGATCTCTTATTTTCCTAGTTTTAGGGCTCTATTCACATTCTGGATATTTACCTACTATATTTCCAGTATTTTTTATTATATATTAATTATTTAGATCTTTTGTTTAAATAAAAAATATTTATTTCACTTATATATCCTATTCACTCACAAGTTCATATCCAAATATATATAATAATAATGAATATTAACTAATTTATTATATCTTATCTTTATAGTACCTACTCAAAATCAGATCTTAATTAGGTTAACTACTTTCTTTTTCTGAACTAGAGAAAAAAAAGATTTTATATTTTGTAGTTTTATTCTCACCAGCTTAGCAAGAATACTAGTAGATATAAGTGATTACATTTTATAATATTTTGATAACATAACTAGATAACATCAATTTTAATACTAAAAACTCGCAGACTAAAGATCTAAAAATAATATATCAAATTACACTTATATTGCTATTAATTTTAATATTCTTAGTGCTAAAAACTTATAGATTAAGGGTGTAAAAATAAATGATGACATACATCAATATATCAGATGTAAAAATAAGTTAACTATACTCCACTTCACTTTATATTTGGAGTTGCTATGCTCCTCCAGAATAGTAATTATTTTAGTAATCAAATTATAAAACTTATATGCTTTAAGCATTTTTTTTTATTATAGAAACAAATTATATATCTTAAGTTTTAAATCACTCTGCTCTATTAAGAAAACATATTATATAATTTAAGGGTTTTAGATAAATTTCTAATCAAGGAAGCAAATTATATTTCTTAAGTTTTAAATTACTTTACTCTGCCAAGAAAACAAATTATAGTTCTTGAGTTTTAAATTACTTTGCTCTGTCAAAAAAACAAATTATAGTTCTTGGGTTTCTAGAGATCAGTTTAAAAAAGAAAAAAAACACCACATCTAGAATGTGTTCCTGGGTATTGATTTCTGATATATAAAAAAAATGCTATCAATTTTAATGATTTTAGCTCTAAAAACTTACAGACTAAAGGGTGTATAAAAAACACAAAAAAATACACTTTATCAAAAAAAAGTCTGCCTGTACTACCTGCTGCTTTATTTTATTTTATCTTAAATTCTTTTAAATTATTTTTAATAAATAACTTTTATCTATTTATTATATATATTTACTAAATTTTATATAAAATACACTATCTGGACAAAAGTATCACACATTCAAAATTTATTAATTACATAAAATTATATATAATAATTATATCTCAAATTTTAATCTATTATAGTCTTACTTTTAACTAAATACATATAAAGTTTTTGTATTATTTGTAAACAAATATAAAAATATATAAATAAAAATATTCAACATCTTCTAGTATCTCTGATTCTTAAAATGTATCACTTAACTAAAAGTTAACGTAGTAAAATTATTAGTCTTTATAAGAATAACTAACCTATATTTAAAATTAGTAAAATTCTTAAAGTTCACAGAACAACTATCTCTTATACTATCAAAAAGTATATTAATAAAGATAATTTTACTACTTGTCTCCAAACTGGATATCTAAAGTTATTGACATGTGAAAGTCAAAAAATACTGAAAACTATTATTAAGAATAACAATAAAAATTCTGCTAAATAAATCAAAAAAAAATTTATTGAAAAAACTAATATCAAAGTTTCTACCAAAATAATTAGAAGAAATTTGCATGAAATGAAAATTTTTTCTTATATGTCAGCTCAAAAATCTCTTCTTAGTGATTAGTAAAAAGAATAGCATCTAAGATGGTATATTTAAAAAAGAAATTGGACTGTTTAAAAATAGAAGTCTATTATATAGAGTGATGAGAGTAGATTTATAATATTTGATAATAATAGACCAGGCCATATTTGGAGAACTCCAGGCACTAGGTTTAATATAGCAAACATAGTTTTAACTGTAAAATTTGATAGTGGAAAACTAATGGTATGGGGATGTTTTTTGGGTAAAGGATTGGATTCATTAGTAAAGATGAAGGGCAAAATAAATAGATTAGATTATATACAGATACTAGAAAAGTATTTATTATCTTTGATAAATAAGAAATTTAATGATAAGAGATATCTGTTTCAGAATGATAATGTTCTAGTCTATACTGCTAAGAATATTAAGCAATAGATACTCACAAATAAAATCAATATTTTATCAGATTGGCCAAGTTAATCTCCTAATTTAAATCTAATTGAGCATTTATGGTCAGAGCTGGGAAGAAGAATAAGAAACTGATCATAAGTAATAAAAAATATTACAGAATTAGAAACTGTCTTACAGGAAGAATGGAATAAAATTTTGATAAATCAAATAATTAGCTTGATAAAAAGTATGCCATAGAGAATAGAAGCAGTTATTACAAGTAATAGCTAGTCTACTAATATTAATTTATATAGTTAATTCATTAGTTAAAATATAAATATTAAAATTTAGAGATGCAATTATTATGTACAATTTTGTGTAATTAATAAATTTTGGATATGCAATACTTTTGTCCAGGTAGTGTATATAGAGTTCATTATAAATATGTTATTCTATATATCAAAGATATTATCTAATATAAAAAGAATAATTTTTATAATATATTAATAGTTTGTAATTGTTATTATTTTTATTTAATTCAATTTATCAAATAATTTTAACTCAAAAAAGTGAGAAATTTAATAAAGATAATTATTTAAGTTATTTATATTTTTTTAACTTCCTTCAAAATATCTTGGATGAAGTTTAATTAGTATTTAAAGAAATCAAGATCAATATAATATATATAATCAGATATACAAGTATCATAAATATTTAAGTTTCTATAATAATTTAATAATTTTAATTTAATTATAACTCAAAATTATTAAAAATAATTACAGAAGAATTAGCATTTAAATACTTACAAGAATTTTAAAATACATTTTTAATATTATATATAGAAAAATTCTTGTCTTAATTTTTATTTATAATCTGTCATATATTTTTTGATATTCTAAGATTTGTATTCTCTGATATAAGATTTATATTATTAAGATTATCTTACAGAACTATACAGATATGATATGATATTTTATATCTTGCTAATTTATATATTATAATATTATCAGTTTTAAGTATATTTATAAGAAAAACTGAAATATGTATTACAAAAATTACTAATTATTTCTGTACTTCAAAATATAATTCATTTAATTTTTTCATTAGAGAATTAAGCATAATTTTAAAGTACTTGTAATATACTTTGAATAAATTGATCTATCTTAATTTTTTCTAATATTCATCTAAAAATAAAGTAATAGATAAATTAATAAATGAAAAATTAATAAATAGACTAATAGATAAAAAATAAGTTATAATTTACTAGAGATGAAAATAATAATAATATCTCTTAAAAGTTATAATTACTCTGATATTTATTGACTAAATTCTTGAAGTTATATTTGAAGGAAGAAAATAAATATTAATATGTGAAAATATTACTTCTTATATATTATAACTTAGATAATTATTAAGATGCAAAAGAATATATTAATCTTTATACTTTTATATAATCTAATAATTAAAATTCTGTAATTATTCTTGAAAAAGAATTATAAATATCCAGATCTTAACATTATTTAGTATATTATAAAAAAGTTTTAGAATCTTATATTTTTGAAATACTAGAAATTTTCTGATCTATCAATTATAAAAGAATTTAACTTGTAAGATTTATCAGTATTTGTATATAATATAATAGAAAGATATTTCTTATTTTTCTTACATCTAACAAGATATTATATTATCGGTATCTGATCTGATTCTAACTAATAGAAAAGTTTAGTTTTATTCATATTATAAATTCAATTAGAAGAATATCTTAAATATTTATCTTGTAATAATAATAAATACTTGATAATAATATTTTAATTAGCAGA